CGGAGGAAAGCTGGAGGTGGTGGGGGCCGGCCTCGGCACGCAGAGGAACAGCAGAGCATGCCCCCAGACAACATGGCCTCCCTGATCCAACGGATCGCCCGCCAGGCGTGCCTCACCTTCCGGGGCAGCGGGGGCGGCCGCAGCTCTTCTGACCGCTGCGCTGCGCCAGGCCCTGAGGCGCCGATGCCGCCAGGCTTCCCGGAGAACCTAAGCAAGCTGAAGAGCCTGCTGACCCAGGTCCGCGCGGAAGACCTGAACATCGCCCCCCGAAAGGCCACGCTGCAGCCTCTGCCACCCAACCTGCCGCCTGTCACCTATATGCACATCTACGAGACTGACGGCTTCAGCCTCGGCGTGTTCCTGCTCAAGAGCGGCACGTCCATCCCGCTGCACGACCACCCGGGCATGCACGGCATGCTCAAGGTGCTCTACGGCACCGTGCGCATCAGCTGCATGGACAAGCTGGAGGCGGGTAGTGGGCCGCGGCCGCAGGCCCCGCCGCCAGAGCAGCAATTCGAGCCGCCGCTGCAGGCCCGGGAGCGGGACGCGGTACGGCCGGGCGTGCTGCGCTCGCGGGCGGAGTACACTGAGGCCAGCGGCCCCTGCGTCCTTACGCCGCACCGGGACAACCTGCACCAGATCGACGCCGTAGATGGGCCCGCCGCCTTCCTGGACATCCTGGCCCCGCCCTACGACCCTGAAGATGGTCGGGACTGCCACTATTACCGGGTGCTGGAGCCTGTCAGGGCCAAGGCCGCCTCCGGTTCGGCCTGTGACCTGCCCCGAGACGTGTGGCTCTTGGAGACCCCGCAGGCCGATGATTTCTGGTGCGAGGGGGAGCCCTATCCAGGTCCCAAGGTCTTCCCTTGAAGCTGCTGGCGCCAGGGAGCGGTGGGCCAGAGACATGCCCTACTCAGATCTGGGCCTGGCCGGCCGTGACCCACCACAAGGGCTCTCTCCCTGCCCTCATGCCTGGTCGTTGGATCTACTGGAATGGGCTGTAGCCACTTCCTCGGGAGCCTTGGAAAGCTTCGGCACCTGGACTGCAGCCACCGGGCACGGTTTTGGGGGCGGGGTAGGCGAGGAAGTTAGGTTGTTTCCTGGCTCTGTCACTGCCACCAGGGTTTTGATTTGGGGGGTGCGGGGAGGCGGCAGGGGACTTATCTGAAGCGCTTCCATCTTAAAGCCATAATGAAAATTCTCTTTCCTCTGTCCCCCACCCTATACAAAATACACTTAAGTGGTTTTCTCAGTCCCCTCCTTGGGTAAATAGGGTTTGTTTTCCACATACGTGCTTATGCCCTTTTACTCTTTATTGTTATAGTGCTAACTTATTGACTTTGCATGACCCAGTGGTTTGGATTATTTTTAGTTCAAGTCATTGGTAAAGCTAGGTTTAAAGAGATGAGTTACTGTTTAAAAGTGAGCTGTCTGGCCTAATTAATTCATTGTAAAAATGAATCATATTTCCAGAGTTGGGGGATTATCCCCAAAACATGACTATGCATGTAAAGGACAAGATTTATTTTCTTTCCTCTTTTTGCCCAGTAGCCACATCTGGTTTGCTCCAGCAGCATCTATTAAGAAATTCAGCACCTGCATATCTCAGTGACAAATGGTCACTCAGAGCTTATCTTCCCCATGAGTCTCCAGATCTGTGAGTTGAGCAGATTTCTTGTTGCAGATTTCACCTTTAATGCAAAAACTATATTATCCTCAAGTGACTTTTTTTGTCTTAGTGTACTTTAAGAAGTAATAGAGTAATTTTGTATCTTCTAACCAGAAGATTCAAAGGAGCTGAATCTGTATGCTTCCAAACAACTTGAATGTAAAACATTCGTAGTCAGCTGTTGAATTCCATGCCCCTATTTACTTCTAGTATTTTCATGCAAAAGTAGAGGAAAATGTTGGTGACTGTTTAAAACTCTCTCCAGCGTCAATGTTCCAGAGGGCTGGTGGTTCCAGCTGTGTTGTTCGTGGTAATGTTTGCAGAACTCTCCCTCAAATAGGAGAGAGCCAGTGCATGCTTCATCTAGGGTGGTGTTTCTGTAGGAAGAGAAAGCACAGATGATCAAGGTTAGAGAATTGAGAATTGACCTTACTGCTGGCCATTTTAGGGCACCAAAATTTGGGACAAAACACTCCCAGCCTCTCGAAATGAACAGTTGTACTATTTGTGACTGGTTTTATTTTTGTCCTTTAAATAGGGTGAGCAGTTTTACCTTGTTTACAGATGTATTGACACCATTTGCTTCAGGCCATGAAGCACTCTTGTTTCCCCCTTTTTCCTATTTATAGGATTAATTTTTTCACGAAACTTTTAATAAAAACAAATTGTAGAAATAAACACATTAAAATTTGCCCAGCTGTCGTCTAAGCCCTCTTGATTGACTTGCCCATGTGGCAATTGAGTTCTAATATCTGTAATAAACGGGGATTTGCAATTGGTGGGAAGTGATGACCTTATGTAGGGAAGCAATATGTGTCTGCCCCTCTTTTTGCACACTGGGTTACAGAGGCCCACAGTGAAGGAATATTTGTTCCCAAATTTAAAAATTGAAAAAAAAGCAAAATTTTAACGAATGACTTTTTTTAAACAAGATGCTACTCAACATGATATGCCACTGAGTTGTAAAACCTGACGCTGGCATAATGCAAAGCATTTCCTCTAGGTTTGCTAAAATTGTTTTATGGTAGTGTCATATTCTGATGGGGTTTAATATACCTTAGAGGCAGTTTGAAGTAAGTCATCGTGCCATGCAGTTTGAAGTAATTCATCGTGCCATTCAGTTTGAAATTAAATTCTAAATATGCAAATGATTTTCTTTAAAATTGTTCACAAAATGAGTCTTTGTCATAGCACAGTGATGAATGTGTATGGTTATCAATCACATACCTCCCTGTTTTGAATTACATTGTGGCAAAAAGTTGATTAACTTATAAAGATTGTTGATAGTGATGTGTGTGTTATAATACAACCTGGAGTACATTAAAATAACCTACCAAAACTCATTCTGGCAATAGGACAGGAGTAAAGGAGAAATTGTTTTTTCCAAACCTCATTATGATCAATTTTAAAGTTCCCAAGTACAAGCAAGTTGAATGAAAAAGACTAAGGTGCTTTTCAAAAGAATAACTGCAATTGTCGCAGGCCAAAAGAGCAATATATCTCTCTAGCTCTGTAAGAATAGTGAAACTTTTGGTTCACTAATAAATTCTGAATAAATTACTGGTAAAAACAGAATTAACTTGTTTTAGTGAGCCACTAAGGAAAGAATATTCTTATTACAAAGGCAAAATGTGGTGCAGAATAGCCTTGCACCTTTCTATAGAAACTTAAACATGACTTGATGTGCTGCTGTTGTGTTTCCATATGTTCCTGCAACGAGTAACAACTGTGGGAAAAGTTGTCTTCGCTTACAAAGACTGATGAGCACAATAATACTAATCACTTAACTTTCCTGTTGAATAACAAATGCAATAATTGCCTCTCATGGATGAAAAAAATTGTCTAATACTTCTAAATATCTACCTATTACGTTATGGGGATTTTTTTTTTATTAAGCCTGATTTGCATGACTTGAATTTACACCAACTGCTGTTTATCAATGAAAATGGTGAACCTATTTTTAATGTAATATGTGTTTGTCCGCAGGAGTAGGTTATGTGAACTTTTACACTAATGGCCCTTAATTTCTCCCAGAACCCACACATTTTATTCCTTTTGCATTGTCCCCTTGTTGGTGCTTTGTCTAGGCATCTTAGGAGGACTCTCATCACTCATCTATTCCAAATGACTTGGAGTCTTGTGCTCAAGGTCTACTGTTGAACAAAGAAGCAATATGTCTTTAATTCAGGGCTCTGCCCATTGCTGTTCAACTCTTAACTTGAGGGCAGTGCCACTCCTGTAACTCTCCTGTTCTCAGTTTAGAACTTCAGGTTACAAACAGAAGCTGACCACTGATCTTCCAGTGCAATGAGCGTCAAAGATGGAAATAATTTGTTAAGCCCCATATAGATACTGAATCTTCTGATCCAGGGATTTTTACATTTCCGGATTAAAATCAGTGTACTTATGGACAATAAAGGCATGTTTGAAATTGTTTAGAGGTAAATCTTATTTGATTATTGCAAAATGGAGAATGAAAACATTACTTGCTATAATGTCTACATTTTAATTACTTTTATAGGTTCATGGTCTATATGGTAAGATTATGTTGTACAAAAAACTGGGGGTCTTCTGCAGTTTCTAAAGTCCAGGTAATAATATAAACTTAAAATAGTTTATTTCCTTGAGAGTGATCTTTGAAACAGCCTGATTGAAAACACATCTGAAATTATTTAACATGTAATTATACTATTTTGCTGCAACAACAACAAAAAACTCCTTTTGTATTTAACCTAAGGAAAATAAGCTAGTGCAAGAAAACAAATACTTTCGTCCACGAAGGACTCTTTGGACTTAGATATTTTTCTTGTCTTTCCTTTTTCTGTAAAATTTGTTTAATTGTAGTTTGGATTGGCAGCATTTTAGGCACTTGTAATGATACCGTTCTTTTCCACACTCCCCCATTTGTACTGGACTGTTAAAACATCACTACAGCCATTTTAATATATACCAATTTGCCTTAGTTTCATTAGCAATAGGATATTGAAATTAAATAGCCTGGTTTATGAATAATTGGAAACCTTATTTAAGTTTAATGGACCTGTTTTAATGTGCACTGAACCATCTCAAATGCATTATGACCTTTAAAGAATTGCTCTCCAGAAGTTTATTTTTAATAAGAATTCCCAGTAATAGATGAAATATCAATAATAATATTTAATATAGCATATTGAATAAAAGAAAGAAGACTTAGCTTTACATGCTTTATTTTTGAGCAAAGTAAAAAATGAGACACCTGTGAAAAGTACCCTGAATATTTCTAGCAGAGTAAAATCTGATTAAAGATTGACCTAACATGTTGAAATCAAGTAGTAAAACCCACAAGATTGACTCTGAAAAAAACGCCAAGGTGTGTTCCTTGTGGTATGTGTGTTATGCCATTAAATCAAGCCCACATCAAGGTGAAAGTGATTATATAACCGATTTGACTATCATCAACATGTATTTCATTTTATTCTTACAAAAATGACTTCTTTAAAAAAGAGACTTTTAGTCTGTTGTTTTCTAAACAATTGTTTACATTACCTTAATTGAAAGTGCTCTGAACTTAAAATTTGGCAAGCCAGTTAAAGATCACATAAAACTTAGATGTCCTGTATTTTAATATAATGACCTTTTAGGAGGGTAGTACTATTAAAAACATAACTATCAAAATGTGGCATTGTTTTATATGTATTTCTTTAACAGAATTGGCTAAGCAAGGGTGGTAACATGGTGACAAGCTAGGAAATAATGAATCTAATGGAATAGCACCAGGCACTAGAACAATCTGACACTGAAGTTTAGAAACTTCTATTTAGTAGTTAATAGAGGTATTTGTACATCTTTGAAATCCTTTGAAGGGAGGAAATAAAAGGGCTAATTACCTCCACAAATTAGCTCTCAAATTCTAGTGCTGGTAAGGGCAAAAAGTAGTTTCCCAGGGTAGCTGTATTCTGTGTGTGCTGTTCTAAAATGCAGGATATCTATTATCAGCCATATCTGAGGGGGTCTAACAGTGGCAAAGGACAAACATGACAGGGTTTTCCGATGAGGTAGATAAACAGTGGGCACTCTGATATGTTACACTTTTATAAGGAGCTAGCAGAAGTGAACTTAAATGATAATTTAGGCCCAATTTTAGATTAAAGAGAACACAAAGACAATGTGTATAATAAATGGCTAACTATTGGAGGGGCTGAATTTATATTTTAAGGTCACTACAAAAGGCTTGCAGTAAAATGATCTCTATAGTGTATTCTTTTGCTAACTATTACCCAGTTCCATGGAGGACCATATTTGCTATTTAAAATTCAGATTGTCTTTCCTTGAGATTTTCTTAAGGCTGGTATATATCTAGCATCTAAAAAGCCGAGTATTTTGATAGTCTCTAGACCCACCAAACATATGGCAGAGTAATGATCCTTCTGAATAGGTGTAATAGGGGAGACAAGGCTGGAGAGAAATGAGTCCTGGGGTAATTCCTTTGGCAACTCATTAATGCTGTCATCAGCAGTGTCTGAGTGCATTTTTGATCTAAAGTGGTGATAGCGCTTTTCAAAAAGTTTTCTGTGGTCATGAGACTAATCCTGGAACCTGAAAATCATTTCCAGCTTGACCACGCCACCACACTTTCCACAAAGCCACATCTCGTCTGAGTTCCTGGCCCTGGTCAGGGTTCTGAAAGCAGCTACAAATGTGTAGTCTCCGAGTGGGCACTTGTTTGTAAGTATTTATTTTCCGGGGCCCACTCAGGAGCGGAGAGAAGCTATAGGCTGTTATAGAGGACGGAACAATGAGTCAAAACAACGCCTCCCCACTTTTACACAAGTGCATGGGGGAAATCCCCGGAAAGCTAGCGTTTGATTATGAATGGAGATTGCTTTGGGGCAACAGGGCTGGTGTTGAAAGGCTAACAAAGAAAACTTGGAGATCCTGGCTCTGTTCAAAGTACTAAAATCCACTGGGTACTGTTTAATTCCCACCCAGTAAACCTTTCATAAGTAATTTCTGCAGCAAAAATATTGTTGAAAAGTATTTATTTACACTATAGTCATAAACCATTATCTGAACTTTAGTTAGTGGTTTTGTGTTAGAATAAATCATTTATATTTCCACAACTATTAAGAGCTAATAACCAAACAAGTCAGCTCCAGTAACATTTACATTCTGCAATTCGACTACAAAGGTAACACTTTTAAGTCACAAAACAGAGCATACAAAAATATACTTTCTAAAAAAAAATTCCAAATATTAATAGGCAGAAGTATACAGCCATACTAAACCCAGGGAGTGATTTTTTTTTTCCATAGTAAGGCAACCCATTTACATGCAGACCCTGTAACATTGTCTACATCACACAAGGCACCAAGGACACTTTCGACACAACTGCATGCATCCTAGTTTCAGAGAATATATGTACATCCCCCATTAAATAAGTTAACATCTGACTCATTTCAAGAGATCATAAATGCTTTACTTTTTTTTCCCGAAGGTTCAGAACTTGGAGAACAGTGCACATCAAAAATACACAAAATCTGAATGGATATACACTGAAAAAATAGTCTTTATGTTTCTCAAACAACTCAAAAAGGAGCAGATATTGCTATGTCCCTCCCATCACATTGCACTTCTGTTCTCTGAGTTTATAATAAATTTGCTTAAAGGGTCGAGATGACTAGATAAGCTTTGATTTACTGTTCTAGCGCCACAGAATGCAGCATAAAGGCCATGCTTCACTCACTGTACAGCATCCCCCAAATCAGTCCCAAGCCATAAAGTGCACACAGTTTCACTTCTGTCTTTTTGCTGTCCCAACCTGAACGGATCAGCATCTCCCAACCTACTGTAGAAAAAGTCTCAGATCTCCAGAGTCAAAAACCTGTAACCAGTCAAAATAA